CCACAACCTAGCCAGTGACACCCTCATCCAAGGAATGAATTAAGATAAAACTACTGGAAGCTAATGTTTCCGGTTGATAAGCTTGCATCATGTACTCTGGAGGAGGCAGAGATCTTGGAGGGCAGTAGAGCTGCAAAAGATAACACACTGGGAAGGATGAAGTTACAAAGGGATTTGAAAACAAGGATATGAATTGTATTAGAGGAGAACAACCTCCACTGGTTCAATTTTGAACATGAAAACTTGGCAGCATAAAGTCAACTGCAGCTGCAAATTTTAACCTGCAGCAAATGAAATGGGAGCTGAAGACTAAGTAACAAGCAAACTTGTCTTAAAGAGAGTTCATTCTTGGAGCTCTAGACAAAACACCGATGTGAGCAGTGACTGCACTGTTTCTTGCATGTTTTGGCTGGCAAGGTCACGTTAATGCTTTTGGTGAAAGAATTAAATGACTCATTGAAGTTAACATGGGCTGATGTGGATTATATTTTGATGCCAACAAATTCTTATTGTATCTTTGCAAAATGGCTGACCCTGCCTCTAGATCTCAAGATGCAAGTGGTCTGATGTGGGACAAACCATTGCACATTATTTCGAAGCAAAATTAGGAATTTTTTTTTTACAAAAAATAATCATCACTTAAATGGTAGCAAATATCTGCAGGGACTGTCTTTGAGCATTACGAGGCTGTCATTTCAAAATGTTCACTGATCCCAATTTGTCTTTCACCTTCTGCAACGTGCTGATAACAATATTTTGGAAAATTGAGTTGGAGGGAGGGGTTAGGTTTAAAGGTTGTTTAGAAATAAATTTGTTCCAGCAAATGACAAGTGAAACAGCTGGACAATAGTATTAATTTGCACTTTATACAGACTGATGGGGTTTTTATACCAACATGCTAGAACTAACCTAAGTATTTTGACGTAGAATTTCCATTATGTGCACTTCACCCAAAATCTGTCAAAACAATGTTACATGAAAATGAGAAATAAGAGCACGACTGTTATTTGACTTCTTGAACCTGCTCCACCATGGCCTGTACCTACCCCTAGAATGTTTAAAAATGAGGAACTTTAGTGCACCATTTTTGGAAGTCTAATATATCTAGTTTAAATTTTTACTGAAATCTTTTGTGCTGGTTTAAGAAAACTTGTTGGATGCTAGCCTGATCCCCTCCACAAAACATGCCTCCAGCTGAAACTAATGCCAAAATTTTGCTGATTGAGACTGTTTGAGGAGGTTCTTAAAAATATCCTTCTTTGGGTTCATAGCATTATGAGGCACCTTCTTTTTAAAAAGTCATGAAGTGTTAAATATGTAATTAAAACACTCTGTTTACCAGTGTAACTAAATATAACAGTAAAGTTTCTTACCACTTGACTTAAAACCAGTTTACTCTTAGATGGTGCATTAGACAGTTATTAAAGTACATATTTTTGTGATAAATCGGTTAATGAAGGTGCACCAGGATACCACTTTTAAATACAATACTACGAACAGAAACAGTTATATTCAGTTTTGTTGCCCGATTCCACTGGCTCATGAAAAATTTAGGAAACGAATGCAATTTGTGGTATGGTAACCAATGGCACTCAAAGCAGTAACTGTGGCTGTATTTTTCTCTCAAAGGGTCGGAATGATTTGCTTTCACTAGATTCTGTGCGTCCATCAACTCGGCCAAAATTGTTCCAATGTCAGGTTTTAGTTGATTTTATGAAACTTAACTTGTGAACTACGTTCTGTAGATGAAAGGAACTGAATAACACAATCGTGATCTTCTTACTAGGGCATCAAAGCTGTCCTTGCTGAGAACTATGAACGCATTCATCGGAGTAATCTTGTGGGAATGGGGATAATTCCCTTGGAATACCTACCAGGACAGACTGCTGACAGCTTGGGACTTACAGGTCGTGAACGCTTTACTATCTCCATTCCGAACCAGATGAAGCCCAAGATGAATGTGGAGATTAAGGTGAATTCCTGTTATTGCCATGTGTGTTCAACACCAAAGCCACAAATAAAAAAAAAACCCACAAAAACAGAAATTGCTAGCAAAACTCAGCAGGTCTGGCAGCATCTATGGTATGGAGAGAAAACAGAATTAATGTTTTGGGTCCAGTGATCCTTAAGGACTAAAGACCAGTTCTGAAGAAGGGTCACTGTACCTGCAGTGTTAACTCTGTCTTCTGTCCACAGATGCTGCCAGACCTGCTGAGTTTTGCCAGCAATTTCTGTGTTTGTTTCTGATTTCCAGCATTCAGAGTTCTTTTGGTTTTTTGATTTTTTTAAAAATAAAAGCGCAGTTTGTTTTCGACCAGAGAGATCTGTTCATTTTTATGGCCCCTAGAGTTTGAACAGCATTTTAGAATACATCCATTGACTTTACCAGCTTTGCATAAGCCAGAGTTATTGGGGAAATTGTAAGCCAGACAGGTCGACTGACTGCCCCTCCTCCTGGTACAGGTTTAGAATGCTGCTTTTACATTCCCCAGTCAGGAATGTCATAAACTTGGCCCTTTATTGTTCCTTTTGTTTCTAACTGCTGGAAATTCACTGCTATGATACAGCAGAGAATGCCACTCAATCCACTTTGATAGTTAGAGCTATCCGAAGAACCCTGGTTCTCTGCTGTTTTACTACAGTTTATAATTTTTCTCTGCATCTGGTTCCCCTTTGAAGGTTACTACTCTACCTTATTTTGCCACCGCTCAGGAAACCTTCCAAATCACAATAAATTGTTGCATTAAAAATGTTCCTTTAATATTGATTTTTGGAAGTTACAACTTTATTTTAGAATGGCTGTACTACTGACACTGTCATACCAGCCACATTTCAGTGCCATCATTTCTGCCAGGGATTAGTGCAATAATTAAGACTGGCAGTATTGACCATATAAAATGATAGTAAACTCGCCCGCTGTTCTGTATTTGCATTTACCCTGTAACTTGGTGAGAAATCAATGGGGGGAAAAATTGAATGTTTCTTGGCACTTAATATTGACTACTCGGAAAGGGTGGGGTGTGAGGTTGGAGGTCATGAGAATATTCAAACAGAATTTTTTTCTTTATTTCCTAGCTTGACACTGGCAAGTCCTTCCAAGCTACTATGCGATTCGATACTGACGTAGAACTGGCCTATTTCCATCACGGCGGTATACTAAACTACATGATCCGAAAGATGATATCAAATTAGCTGGACAATACTTTTTTGTTTTGGTTGGGGGTGGAGGTTGCTTGGTTACAGTGATGATAAATGTTTGATCATGTCAAAAAACGCACAAATTGAAAGCACTAGTTATCAGAAGTAAATTTTGATAATTCTCTTTTATTCCAGTTTAGTTGGAACAATTCTGACTGGGTTTTGTAATAGGTGAAAGATTTTTGTAATTCCCTTTCTAGAACTAATTTTTAACTACAATTCATTGAAATTACATCTTCACACATTTGCAAGTTATATTTAGTCAGTTATAATAATAATCTATTTTTGAAACCTACACACGTAATATCATTAAACATGATATGTGAAAACTTATCTGCAGTCTGTACAGTTTATACAGTGTCACATTGCTTTTGACAAAGCAACTGTTTTGATTATGTTTCCAATTTATTGTCTATCTTAACTTGCTGACTGAAACTTTAAATTACTAACTTTAGTAGAGGAGAAGGTTGGAGGTTAAAGTGGTCAGATTTCCGTGCATGTTTTTAAACATTTGGGTTGAAGATCTGAATATGGACTTCAAGTCTGTATTATTTTCTTGACGCTTAGTGCTCTCTGAGGAAGCCTTGTAAGGTAATTGTTTGTCAGGGTACATCCTGAGGATGTGTCCTCAGCCCCCTACCGTATTCCCTGTACACCCACGACTGTGTTGCCAAATTCTGAACGAATGCCATCTACAAGTTTGTTGACGACACCACTGTAGCAGTATGACTATCGAATAACGAGTCAAAATACAGAAGGGAGATAGAAAGCTTGGTGACGTAGTGCAATGAGAGCAACCTCTCTCTCAACATCGGCAAAACTAAAAATCTGATCATTGTCTTCAGAAAGAAAGGAGGAGAGCATGCCCCCATCTTCATCAAAAGCGTCAAGTTCCTTGGAGTGACGATAACTGACAACCTGTCCTGGAGTTCCCACATAGATGCAATGGTCAAGAAGGCACAATAATGCTTCTTCTTCCTCAGGCAGCTCAGGAAATTTGGCACGTCCATAAGCATCCTCACCAACTTCTACAGATGCACAATTGAAAGTGTACTGCTCTGCCCAGGACTGTGAGAAACTACAGAAGATAGTGTGCACAGCCCAGACCATCACGGAAGCCAACCTTCCATCCATGGTCCTCATTTACACGGCTCGCTACTGCAGAAAGGCAGCCAACGTCATCAAAGACCCATCGCCCCCAGAAATGATCTCCTACAACCTCCTCCATCAGGCAGAAGATACAGTAGCCTGAACACGCACCAGCAGGTTCAGGAACAGCTTCTTTCCAGCTGTTATTAGATTGATGAATGGACTCTCTGCCCTCAAATAATGCTGATCTTGCTAATGTTGACCTTGCCTAGCGCATGCCCTGTGCAATGTAACCTGTATGCCTCTGTCTAAGTCTTTTTGATCTGTGCATCCTTGCTTCTTGTGGTCTGCCTGTACTGTTTGTAAATGAACTGTACCTCTGTACACGTGACAATAAATCAATCAATCAGGTGCTGAGAACAGCTTAAAAAAGAACATAAATGGTATTGATTTAAACCCAGCCTCATTATTGTTTGGAAGGCTGACGAGTGAACAAATGACAACCTGCATTTATAGAGCGATTTATACGTGCAGGCTGTTGTAAAACCCTTGGGTTTGGAGCATATCTGCCAGTTATGGAGTCACAAAAATCAGATGTCACATCAGGGAGTGTAGAGATTTTGCTGTGCATGATTTGCCACTGCTGGTATTCCTTCAATTTTTATTTGTTATTTTGCATGTCTGGTGATGGCACAAATCTGTGTGACACTATCTTTTAATTGACAGCAATTCTTTTAATTACTAATCTCACAAAGGTAAAATGCAGTATTGATGATTAATCCAGTTTGTTTTAATTATTAAATGAAAGTTAAGTTAATGCATATAATAATAATTGCAATTGATTTTAAACACCATTTGCTTAAATTCGAAGCACTGAACAACTTTATGTAAAGTACACAGATACAGACCCCACTGGTCAGTGACTATATTGATGTGCCCCATGAGCTTCTTCCTAACCACCTTCATCTTAAACTATCAGCACATTCCTTTATTCCTGTCTCCTTATTATGTTTAGTTTCGTCTTGATTGCTCTTGTTATTTGCCTCAAATTCACTGTGTGGCAACATTCTAATAACTATGGAAAGTTCTTACTGGATTTTTAAATAATTATCCTTTGATTAAATATCTATCATTAGAGGCATTGACGAGTGGAAACATTTTCTGTGCTGGTCAATGGTAAGTCACATTCAAATAGATTTTGACAAAATTACTGAATATTCTAACTGTTACATGTTCATGTTCTAGAAGTGTAGGTTTTCTGTTTATTGATGTGTAGCTCTAGAGAAGGGAATTAATGCTTACGGTGATTCTGAAAGAAGTACATGGGCAAGAAATGTTTGTATAATGAATATCCAAATTGGTTCTAAAACAAAGTGGTTAAATATAGAACAGCAAATTGTCAATGCTGAAAGAATTAATTTAATTTAGCAGAACAGTTTTACAACTTAAATGTGATTTTTTTTTTAATTCTGTTGCTTGAAGCTACTATGTAGTTTCAGCATTTTGTTTTACTGTGGAATGTCTTTGACTAAAGGAATTTTCATAAGAGATTCTCTCTCTCTCTTTCTACTATCCTCAACCAATTATTTATTGGTCATTTCTGTGGCATCAAAAAGCTTAACTGAAAATGGGATGTTCTTCCACTTACTCACAGGGATTTGTTTAGATGTTGTAACATCCTGAAGAATAAAGCTCTCAATTTTAATTATTGGGAGATCAATGAACTCCTTGTAGTTTGCAGTGATTCCCCAATCATGCTTGCAGTTTCTACAGTGCAATTTTTGCCTTTTCTGAAAATTATTGAAGGCTTTTGGCTTCTTGTGAGGTTGAGTTGAATAGCGCTCCTGGAAAGAGTTGTCGATAACTGTGTGATGACATTCCTGAAATAAAAGATGGAGAGCTTTCAGCAGTAGCCTACAAATTAGCAGAATAGGAACAAAAGACTCTGCATTACCTGTTCATTGTGGTAAACATGGATGACCTATACAATACTTAAAAATCCATAGATTGTGTAATTATTATCTTATTGCTGGTTGTGGGATTTTGCTTAGTAAATTGGCTGTCTGCATATTATCATAGTGGGTCTACAATGCAGAATAAGGCTACTTGGCCCATTGCAATGACCCTCCATCCAACTGAGATCCAGCCCCTCTACCCTATCCTCAGGACCCTGCATTTACCATGGATAGTCCGCCTAACATGCACATATTTGGACTGTGGGAGGAAACTGGAGCACATAGTGCAAACCCCTCCTAAGACTGGAATCGAACCCAGGTCCCTGCTGCTGTGAGGCAGTAATGCTAACCACTGAACCACCATGTCACCCACATTATAAGAATGACTGCACTTTATTTCAGGATGCCTTGAGACCATGAAATGCCAATATAAATATTGGTCTTTATTTAAGTGATGACGGTAGACAGTATAATTGCAGAAAATTAGTCATGGCTAATGCTTCACACCCCACACAAATTGTTTCTAAAACATTATCCGCCACTGCTGATAACCTAACTAGCCTGTAGTAACTAGGACTATTTTACCCTTTCTTGTACACACTTGTTACTCTCTGGCACATCCCTATGGCAATTTGTTTACTCTTTAAGGATAGCCAGCTTTTCCAGTACTTTAATTTCTGATATTAAGCCAACCTGTTATTCCTTAATAAATATTAACAGTACTCAAGTATCTTACCCTTGCCCTGTGCCTCTTTAATCACTAAGAAAACTTGCTTTGTAAATTTTCTTCACGTATTTAGTCGACTCCCTTTTGAAAGCCACTATTGAATCAGCTTCCACCATCATTCTAAATAGTAGATTCCCATATACAGTAATATGCTGCATTTCAGAAAAAAACTTTTTAATTTCTGGTTCTTTTGCTAGTTACCTTAATTCTGTGTCCTCTGACTCTTCTGCTAATAGAAAAAGTTTCTCCTTTATTTTCATGTTCAAGATCACAAACAGTTTTAATATCTCCATCAAATCTCCCCCAGTCTTCTCTTCTGAGGAAAAACTTCAGCTTCTCCAGCCTCCAGACATAATTGTATCCTTCATCTGATTACATTCTGGTAAATTTTCTGTGTACCTTCTCCAAAAGTTATGCTTTTGATATTTACTGTCATAATAAGACCAACATCAATTCTATTTAATGGGGTACTAAACAAACTTATGCTGGGTAATTGGGTGATTCACTGGATTTAAAAGTTGTTTCATCAACAAAGGATCTGGGTTCACAATCCAATCCTGATTGGAATGCATGTAAGGTTCCTATATGTAAAAATGTGTAAAATTAAAGCACATAGGATTTGGGGGTAGTGTATTGAGATGGATAGAAAAATTGGTTAGCAGATAGGAACAAATAGGTATTTTTCTGAATGCCCTAATCCTGAACCGAGAGACCTGGGTTCAAGTCCCACCTGCTCCAACGGTGTGTAAAAACGTCTCTGAACAGGTTGATTAGAAAAATAGGTTAAATAAAAAACAAACTTTTTGGAACTGAGATGAGGATAAATTACTTCACCCAGAGAGTGATAAGCCTGTGGAATTCACTACCGCAGAAAGCAATTGAAATCAAAACATTGTGTTATCAAGGAGGTAGATTCGGTTCTTATGTCTAAATGGCTCAGGGTGGAGAGGGTGGGATTAAAGGTATTGAACTTGATCGAGGCATAGAATGGTTTGTGCCTACGTTCTATGTTGCTATGTCTTTAGATACCCTGATTATATTTCATAGCAGGTATTGGGATAAAATTGGTAATCTCATTTAGAAAGAAAATAAGGCTCAGTTGATATGTTCCACCTGGTCAGGTTAAAAGCACGCCCCCCCCCGCCCTCTGTAATGTTTCTGCGTGCTGCAGTTTGCACTAACCTGGTTAAAGAAGTGTTCTTGTTCCTAGATTATATGGTAACCGCAGTGAGTGGTGTATCTGTATGAAATGCTACATATCCCACTAAAATACCAAGTTCTTGCCATAGCTGCAACCAGCTTGAGATGACAAGTTACCATTATCTTATCAGACCATAGGGGCTGTACTCTTTCATTAGAAAGAGACAACTTGAGGTTTAACCTGAAGGTCACCAGACTTCTGGCAAGGGGAGAGATTGGGAAGCAGAGTTCTTCATCGTAATCTTAGCTGGTGTGGGAATTGAATCCATGCTGTTGTCATCACTCAGCATTGCAAACCAGCCATCTAGCCAACAGAGTATATGAACCCCTAAGAGTACTGTGCAGTTACATGAACACACATGACTTGGACTCCTTTTTTCCAATTGGAGGATGGTTGCGACCTGTCTTGAATCTGAAATAATGGCCCTTGTTCCAACATTTATTGCTATTTTGTCTGAATCACAAATGCTCCCAGTGATGTGTGTCATATTATTACAAATACTCTCTTTAGTCATGTGCTTAGTTGATAATTGAAGAATTTTGACAATTATGGGTAACAGTGCTTGGCAATTATCCAAAATTCTTCCCACCATCAAATGTTGGTTACTAGCTGAGCAGGCAGATCCATTTGTATTTTTCAAAAATTATGGAACCAAATACTATGGTCAAGATCTAAGATTGAGTATGGAATTACAAATTCTAAATGTGGTTGCATTTGAAGCATTTAGAATCAAACTGTTCATATTTAGCAAGACAACTGTCAATACAGTAATAATGGTAGGTTACTAAATTCTGGACTTACCTCTATGACTCTTATGTCATCAGAGTTGCATGCATACAGTTTGCATCTTCCACAAAGTAACTGGCAAGTGACATCTGGTCTCTCTCTATTTGGAACACTATCAACTACTTCTCTCCTCCTCTTTTCATTTAATTGAATGGTATTAATCTTGGAAGAAAGAATTGTATAGTTTAGCCTCTTGCAAAGGTTAATCAGCAACCCCAAATACATTACCACTGTATTGTTTGTTAATATGTTTAGATCATTTTTAAGTCAAATAAGAAAGTGAAATGAATTGTGGCATGGAGCCAGCCGAATCTCTCAATTACCTTCAGAAATGGCCAAACAATTAAAAACCCACGATAAAGTGTGTGAGCATAAGAAGTAGGAGGAGTAGTGTTATGACTCCAACTAATGGTAATATTGGATAAGCTAGAGAGCATAGTGAAACCTGGCTTGACAGGAACCAGAGTAGGCCATTCCACCCCACTATTCATGGTTGATGAAACGCCTCAATGCCTTTTACCCACCCATCCCCATAACCCTGTATGGCACTGGTAATCAGAAATCTATCAATCTCTACCTTAAACATATTCAAAGACTGAGCTTCCATAGCCTTCTAGGGTAGAGAATTCCAAAGGTTCACAATCCTCTGCATAAGACAATTTTTCCTCATTTCAGACCTAAACGGCACCCTCTTATTTTTAAATTTGTGGCTCTTGCTTCTAGACTGTTCAAACAGTGGGAGCATCTTACCTACATCTATCTTGTATTTGGTAACTTTCAATGAGATTACTTTTCATTCTTCAAAGTTCTAGAGAATACAGATCTGGTTTACCCTATCACTTTTCATAAGATCATTCTGCTATCCCAGGAACAAGTCTGGTGAATGTTTTTTGTATTCCATGTATCAATAACGTCCTTCCTAAGATAAGGAAACCAAAACCGCACATTGTACTCCAGGTGCAGTCTAACCACACTCCTATACAACTGAGCAAGACTTCATTAATTCGGCACTCAAATCCTCTTGCAAAAATAACATTTCATAAGCCTTAGAACATAAAACAGCAACAGCCCCTTTTTGCCCACCATATCTGCACCAACATGATATCATTCTAAACTAATCCCATCTTCCTGCACATGGTTCATGTTCACCTTCCTAATAGCTTGCTGCAGATGGATGTTAACCTTGACAAGGACACCCTAAACCGTTTGTACATTTACACTTTCCAACCTCTTAACATTTTAACAAACACTCTTCATGTAATTTTTTCATATTCCTCACAGTACACATTCCTACGTAGCTTTGTTTAATCTGCAAATTGGGAAGTATTAGATTTGGTCCCCACTTCCAAATGATTGATATATATTTTGAACAGCAGAGGCCTATGTACTGATTCTTACTGTTCTGCTGAGGTGAGAATGACCTAGTTTTGGCTCACAAACAGAAAACAAAGAACCAGTCATTAATCCAAACCAGTACAGTGTCTCCTAGCTAATGTGATTTAACTTTTCTAACCAGCCTCCTGTGCAAGACTTTATCAAAACACTTGTGAAAATCAATGTATATTTGTCAGTAACATCTTCAGAAAAACCCCAAGTATTCTCCCGTTCACAAATCCAGGTTGACTATGCTGATCAGCATAATTATCAACCCAGATGTCTACTTATCCAATCATTTCTGAATAGTTTCTAGGATTTTCCCAATTAGTAATGTATGGCTAACAGGTCTGTAGTTCCCTGTTTTCTCTCTCACTTGCTCCTTTAAATAGTGGGGTGACATCCGTTGCCTTCCAATCTGCAGAAATTATTCCAGACTCTATAGAATTTTGGAAGATAATGCATAGACCATAATTTTCTTTTGTTTACCATGTAGGCAAGTGATGGAACATATTCACAGCTGCCAATGTGTTTTTAACAAAATAAAAATCATTAACAATATTACTGTTGAAGAACTTTTAGAATACTTTTATTGCAAACAACAGACAAATTCATTCCATTTTCCAGTAATACGCTTAACAGATACTTAAAACTCGGGCATCCCCCACCTCAATGTTAAAACCTTTTGCTTAGCTGACATAGCTGTAATTGGTTTCCTTTCAGCAAATTGCTGTGTCTTCACTAGAAATTACTTTCTTAATATCTTGAGCGAACTCAGCTCATTATTATTAAACATGATTGAATAAACTCATGACTTCAACAGCTTTGTTGGATGTTTTCCTCTCTGACATCCTCACAGCTGTCTTCTAAGCATCTCAGGACTTGTGCCCAGCCTTGACTGCTCATAACAGCACCTCTCTGTTGTGGGCCTCTTCCTCTTATGAATTTGTTTTTGATTCTTTGTCTCTCCCTGCAGTGGTTGTAAAACTCAAGTCTGCAAGTATGTTAGCAGTTATCTCCCGAGGTGGCTTTGCTGCTCATTTAACTGACTTTAGTAAATGGTGTGGTCAGCTAATCACAAAAATACATACTAAAAATCTATTTCCCTCCACTTCAGAACCCAAGTTCTCAAGTAATGTGAACGGTAAACCATTCAGTCCCTCTAGCCTGCTCTGCCATTCAATAAGATTGTGGCATCACATCCACTTTCCTACGCTAACTTGATTTCAATAGTAGCCAAAATCAATCTATTTCCATAAATTCCAGAGAACAAGGACCCATTCTAATCAACACTCCACATAGAATAATCTTCTCAGCCCAGCAAAGAGACAGTCAAGGTGCACTATTCTCAATTAATTCTAATATGTTAATTTCCCTCTAGTTCCCGTTGCACTTAAAGACAGTGCCAAGAGCTTAGCTAATTTTGATTGATTATAGTGCATGTTTACCATTTCAGTAAAGATTCATTTGTTTACACAGTACAAATTGGAGATTGAGCCTTTTTTTTTTCCGGTTCAGCTGCACAATGCTCAATGCATTTATCCAATGACTGTACAGCAGGTTCAACAAATAAACATTAAGTAGGAGTTAAACATATTTATATACGTAACTGTTTGCCATCAATGGTAGATGTGATTTAAGCCTGATGTTGCAGACTAGACCCCAACTACTACTAATTTTAAAGGCAAGTGTAAGGCATCACGTTCCAGATGCGATTCGATTGTTCAGACTACCAGGCTTGAAGCAAAGCACACTTTACTCTTTACAAACAAAAGAAAGAAGAACTAGTACAATTCTAACTCTACTGGAAATCTTAACAGAATAATAGATTCTTTAACTCCTAAGCAGCAACTGTTCCAATATAGTAACATCCCGCAAAGGCAAATTCAGTAAAATAGATTGTCTCACATGCAATTCTGTAGTCAAGGAGGGAAGAACATCAAGAAAAAGCTCAGAGAAAGAGAAAACTCCAGCGTTTTGCTGTAGCAGGAGAGATATAGCAGCATCAACAACCTCAACAGCTACTGAAAGTTAAACTAAAATTCTGGTTCTGTGGGAGCTTGACCCCATCCCTTCATGCTGTTTCTATTGTTTCAATTTAAAAAAACCTAAAGTCACACAAGTTGTTTACTTTATTGGCTTGGAACAGACCGTTCTTTCTCCTTTGACTCAATTTCTCTTCATTTTTTAAAAAAAGGACAAAACACACCTCTTAAAGCCATTGTATCAGCACACAGAGACTCTCAGATAAGTTACCCAATTTAAATGCTAGTTAGGAACCTGTAGTGTCCAGGATTGGATCTCTCAACCTCACTGTCAGCCTGTAATTTCAAAATTACAACAAGCCTCCAGCTAATGCAGAGTGCTGAGAGGATTGTTAGTGAAGAAACTTAGAAAGGGTTAAGTGGATTGGTAGGCCTTATAACTGCCTGTTTCTGTCCGATATATCGTGTGCAATTTAATTGAAAATATTTGATGACTGAAATAACAGGTACAGTACAATCTAAATCTGGATATCAGGGTAGTGGAACATAGCAACTTTCACATATGACGTGCCTACACAGGAGATCTGGGTGGAACAGAGTATTGCAACTCAAGCAAGAATTAGATTCTGAAGCCTGTAGCATAATAACTGTAAGCCCATTGTTACCTTTTCGACTAAGGCTGCCTGTCCCAACTGTTGCACTTCACAAATAGCTTTGTACATCATCTCCTCTTGTAAAAAATGATGCATGTCTTTCTCAACCTGCTCTCTTTTGCTGGTAATAAGAATGCACTTGCTATTTTGTGCTCTTCCACGACCTGTAACAGCAACAATTCAATTACACTGTAATTGAGCACAGGCATGAACAGAACTGTCATTTCAGAATCCCCACTTCATATACAGTTTTATTTTGTACAGATTAGCAGAAAAGAACATACCACATACATTCTGTGAACGGTAACATTAATGGAGATTAGTAGATGTACCAGACTTTGTCCAAAGTCCTCTATGTTGTCGTTTGATTTGATAAGAATAATTATCATACTGCTCAACTGCATGAAAACGTGAACCAACAACTGCAGAGTAGCATCTCTACATTTAGCAAGTTAAATTCCAGAGACAACCACAATCCCATGCATCACTAAGCTCTCTATCATCATATAGAATTTACAGGAAATAGCATTTGGTCTATGCCAGTTTTTATTGTCCACATGCATCTCCTTCGTCTTGCCCTACCAACATATTTTGTGCCTTTCTCCCGCATGTGTATTGAACCCTTAAATACATTGGTGCTTTTCACCTCAGTGATGCTGTGTGCTAATGAGTCTCACTACTGTCTGGGTTAAAGAGGTTTCACCTGAATCCCTTAATTATGATTATCTTGTATGTATGGTCCTTAAAGATGGTTCCTTGCCAATGGGGAAACATTCACTTTCTAGATGCTTCAATCCATCTACCCTTCATAAAGATCTTTGCTAGGTCTCTCTCTAAGCTTTCTCTTTTGGAAAAATGAGCCTCAACCCGAGGAAATCACAGAAGTATTCATTTATTTGGCTAATTTTCACGACATGCTCCGCAGTCAATTATTTTGAGTAACTTTGTCAGCTAAGATTCTGGCCAGTTTTCTCTCTCTCAATCTCAAAAGCCAGTGAGTGATAGAAATGTCAAGTTTATTAAATTTCAAGGGCTTTGGTTGGATGGGAGGAGAATGAGGACACACAGGACTTCTGAGAGCGAAAGCAATAGGATCGGGGCACCCGTTTTCACAGGAACACCATCACTGAGCAAACCTGAAGCTTAGCGTAGCTTTGTCAAGATTCATCTTATTGGGTTTTAGTCATTGTCTCCCAATTAAAATGAGAGCATTTAATTTTAAGCAGTTATGAAATCAAAAGCCACCATTGGCATCATCAATTCATTACCTTGTCTTACATATAAATAAATAATTTTGTCATTTGCTCTAATTGGTTGTCATTTATATTTAAAATTGACTTATTTCAGTGATTAGCTGGATGGATGGATGGCTACTTGTCCAGGCAGCCTGATTAAATTGTCAATTCAGGCTAGAACAGTATCTCAGTGATGCAAATGTCACTGCATTGAACTGAAGTAATTCTCATCTTTTTATCGAGTAGTAGTTTAGATTAACTATTACTGACGTAGTTGCTGCCAGCTTGAAGCATGAAAATTTAAACCTTAAAGATTCAGGCTAAACCAAGTATCCAGGTTGCACAATGCATGGTACAAACGTGGTCTATTCAGAAAGTGTGGAAGAACTAGTTCAACCTTGCTTTAAATTTAGCCCCAGATAAGAATCTTGCTCAATTAAAGAGTAACTGTTGCCAAGATGTTTCAGTGGCAAGGGTATTAAATTTTCATTCTCACCACTTTAAGTGTAAAACAGACTGACTGCCTGACTTAACGAACAACTCAATTTTCTTTGCATTTATTTTGGCGTTATGGAGTTTCCAAAACCACCTAGCACTGAACTGTGATAACAAGGTGTACAGCTGGATGAAAACAGCAGGCCAAGCAGCATTTTAGGAGCAGGAAGGCTGATGTTTCGGGCCTAGACCCTTCTTCAGAAGAAGCACTGAACTGTGTTGTTTAGATGTAAACATTACCTTTGAGTGATACATTGTATGGCCCCCATTATTCTGTAATAAACATAGGACAATAGATCAGTTAATCATATCTTACTTTGTCGATGACCTTACCTCTTGTTTGAATCATCTTTATAACATTACCGACATACTCGTACAACAGTACGAGGTTACACTGAGCTATGTCAATTCCCTCATCAGCAACAGATGTTGCTACAAGGATTTTGGTTCCACTGTTGCCTTTAAATGAAGTCAGTACTTCTTTTTGCAAGGGCAGAGTCATTCCTGTAAAACACAATATGTGCATTAACAAAAATTATCTTTAATATAAGAAAACATTTACAGTAGTGCATCACTATGATCTCTGCAAACCTCCTCCAAGATGTTTGCATTTTTCCAATTCAGGTTCTTGCAATCAGATTTTTCTAACTCCATCGCTGGCAGCTGACTAGGCCTATTTCAGGAATCTCCTCCCTCTATGTCTCTTATTTAAAATGTTCAAAAAAACTAACCTTTCTGAACAAGTTTTTAGTCACCTGTCCTAATCTTATGTGGCTTGGTGTCAAATTTTGTTTGATAATACTCTGATGTATCTTCAGGGTTATGTTACCATGTTATTGTTCAATTGGTTTAGATTAAGTCAACTTTTCTAACTCACACACAAACCATTGTCCAAAGGTCAGCTCCAAAAGAACACTTCCTTAGATTCAAGCTACGTGGCTACAATTCCACTTGGTTTCAAACGTAACATTTACAGGTTGCAGGTAGCAGTTTTAAAATGTGCAAGAGGGAGAACTGTTGAGTGATTTTGTACTTCAAGTGCAAAACAGTGCAAATTCTTGATATGCAGCAGCTGATAAAAAGATTTTTTGACAAAATCTAACAATTTTAATGCTGCTATACAATAATAAAACTGCCAAGATCGGTTTCCAGTAACAGGAGGATTAACAACATGTGTGTACAAGATTCAACGTTATTGACTAAAGAACCAGAGTAGCATAAGGAAACTTTTTATTTTTATGCAGCGAGTAGTGATCTGCAGTGGAAGCAGATGCAATATCTTTCAGAAAGGAATTGGATAAATACTTGAAGGTGAAAAAAAATCACAAAGCTATGCTAAAAGAACAAAAGGGAATGGAAATAGTTGATTAGCCCAAGCACAGCCTCAATGGGTGAAATGTCCCCTAGCGTTTTATCATTTCTAGATGTCTGTTCCAATGCTCTGCTTCCAGTTTCTACAATTCACCTTCCTAAACACAGACTGTACTACAGACAAAACAAATCAATGTTCCAAAACTTCCATGATGCAAGCTGTGGGACTCTAGATGATTGGTAGCCAAGATTGATTCAGTAAACTTTTACCTGGCCCAGTTGCAGCTCCAACGTATTTCAAATCTATTTGAAGCAGGTAGGGCTTCAGCCCAGGTCTTTTGGCTCAGAGGTAGGGACGCTATCACTTTTATGCAAGAACCCCAAGCTGCATCTCCAAAATATTACAACATGCCTCCACAGAATGTGTAACATCTGCCCATTTACATCCTCCCTTATCAAGGCCCAAACACACCTTCCAGGTGAAACAACATTTTACTTGCATTTCACTCAATCTAGTTTACTGCAATAGCTGGTCAGTGTGGTCTCCTCTACAAAGTGTAGATTGGTGACTGCTTCGCAGAACACCTACATTCTGTCTGCAATAAAAGACCCCAAGCTTCCAGCTGCCTGCCACTTCAACACACCACCCTGTTCTCTGGCCAACATCTCTGGCTCAGGCTTGTTGCAGCGCTTCTGTGAAGCACAAGCTGGAAGAACAGAATCTCAATTTCCAGTTGGGAACTGTACAGCCTTCCGGACTCAATATTGGAGTTCAACAATTTTAGGGCTTCAGTACCTGCTCCTATGTCCTTACACCAACCCCCACACACCAGGCCTTGTTATCACACGGTATGCTATTACACACAACTCATTGTTAGCCAATAATAGTTCACTTTAGCTGCTATTCATTCTCCTAGGCTGACCGTTATCCACTCATTTTTCTGTCCAACTGTTCTTCTCTCTTCAGGCTCTATCCTCATCCCCTCCTCCTCCCTATCTTTTGCACTAAAAAAAAATTTTCCAGCTGCCATCAGTTCTGAAAAAGGGGTCACCAGATCCAAAACATTAACTCCAATTTTTCTCCACAGATGCTGCCAGATCTGCTGAGCTTTAACAGCAATTTCTGTTTTTGTTTCTGATTTCCAGCATCCACAGTTCTTTTGCTTTTTTTTAAGATGGTGGAATTCTTCAGTGGGATAGAAAGTGAAGCAGTCCAGTCCAAAACTATGGTCCTAAATCTAAACAAAGGAAATTCCAAAGGTATGAGGACCAAGTTCAGTGTAATAGACTGGGTAACTTTGTGAAAAGGCATAACAGTGGATAGGCAATGGTTAATATTTAAGGAATGAATGCAAGCATTACAGTGGTTGTACATTCCTTCCAGGTGAAACAACACCTGGAAAAGTCAACAAACCATGGTTAACAAAAGTGGTTAAGGACAGCATCAGATCCAAAGAGTCATATAAAAGTTGCTTGATAAAGTAGCAAGCCCGAGAACTGGACCAGTTTAGAATTCAGCAAAAGAGGAAAAAGAAGGGAGAAATGCACTATTAGGGTAAACTTGGAAGGAACATGAAAGTGGACAGTAAGAGTTTCTATAAGTATATAAAACAAAGAAAAGGTTATTGAAGGTGACTTTAAGTCCCTTTCAGTTTGAAACTGAAGAATTGATAATGGAAGACAAGGAAACAGCACAGCAAGGGTGGCTCAGTGGTTAGCACTGCTACCTCACAGCACCAGGGACCCGGGTTCAATTCCCGCCTCAGGCAACTGTCTGTGTAGAGTTAGCTCCCTGTGTCTGTATGGGTTTCCTCTGGCATCCTCCTACAGTCCAAAGATGTGCAGATTAGGTGGACTGGCCATGCTAAATTGCCCATTGTGTCCATGGAATTGCAGGCTAGGTAGATTAGCCAATGAGAGGTATGGGGGTACAGGGATATTTGGGGGGAGGGTCAAGTGTGTGTCTGCATGGGTTTGGATGGCTGAATAGCCCAATTCCACACTGTAGAGATTCTATGAGTTAAACAACTACTTTTGTTCTGCGTTCATAGAAGACACAAAGCAGAGGTCTTTTGGGAAGGAGGAATTGGAGCAAATTAATATTAGTTTAAAAAAATTGTTGGTAAATCCCAGGCATATCAAAGTAGGTGGCAATGGAAGTAATGGTCACTTTGATTGTCATCGTCAAAAATTCTCTAAGTACTGAAATGGTTTCAGCAGATTGGAGGGTAGCTGTTAAGTGCCAAATCTTAGTGACAGTCCACCATACTTACATAAATACCAAACAGTAGCAAATGTAAACCCACTGTTTTAAAAAAGGAGAAAGGGATAAAAACAAGAATTGCAGACTGGCTAGTCTAACATCAGTAGCATCAAAAAATGCTGGGGTCTATTGTAGGCATATGATAATGGAACATTTAAAAATACTCAAAGTCAACATGGATTTATGAAAGAGAAATAATTTTTGACAAACCTGAAGTTTTTTTTGAGGCTATAACTAGTAGAATAGATGAGGGAAGAAGCAGTGGATGTGCTGGATTGGAATTTTTAAAACACCTTGATAAAATCCCACATAAGAGGTTATTGTGCAAAATCAAAGCACATGGGATCAGTGGTACCATACTAGCATAGATTGAGAACTGGTCAGCAGACAGGAAATAGAGATCAGGAATAAAGGAGTCATTTTCAGAGAGGAAGCTGGTGACAATGGGGTACTGCAGGGATGAAAACTTGCAACCCAGCCATTCAGAATACATTCCCTCATCCAAATTGTTGATACAAAGTATAATATTTCCAAATTTGCTGATGACACAAAACTAGGAGTGAGAATGGTGAGGATGATGTAAAGAAGCCTCAGGACGATTTAGACAAGTTGAGAGAGTGAACAAAACATGGAAGATGCAATACAACATGGATAAATGTGAACTTGTCCACTTTGTTGGGAGAAACAAAATGGCAGGTATAAATTAAAATAGATTGCAAAAAGTTGATGTACAAAAGGATCTGGTGCCATTTGTTCACTGAAAACAAGCATGCAAGGCCAGCAAGCAGTTAAGAAGCCAAGTGGTATGTTGGTGCATCATTGCAAGTGGGTCTGAGTACAGAAGCAAGGAAATCTCACTGCAGCCGTACAAAGCCTTTCTCAGACGACATCTAGAATATTGGGTGCAGTTTTTGGTCTCTTTATCAAAGATATACAATGTTCCCTCTAAGTGTGCAGCTGCTCAGAAGTTGTGTTCATACCAATACAATGATTGTCACACTTGGGCATTACTGCCATGTATAGACCTTGGAGTGCAACAGACAAAGACATTAGGAGCAATGTAGCTAGTCACAGAGCGAGTGCAGCACAAGTTCTCCTGATTGGCTCCTGAGATGGCATATTTGTTGTGTAAGAGATTGGGTTGACTGGACGTATATTTACTGGAGTTTGGGAGAATAAGAGGGGATCTTAGTGAAATGAGTAAAAGTCTGACAAGGCTGGATAGATTGGATGCAGGGATTGCTTTGGCTGGTGAGTCCAGAATAAGGGGTCATAGTCTCAGAACATATGATAGGACATTTTGGACTGAGATGAGGAGAAATTTCTTCATTCAGAGAGGGTGGAGAGGTTGTGGAATTCTCTATCAAAGGAAGCTGTGAAGGCTAAGTCACAATATACTTAAGAAAGGAATAGATCTAGAGTTCTCGAAGCTAAAGTTGTTAAGGGGTATGAGGAGAGAGCAGAAGTATGGCATTGAAACAGAAATCATGCATGATCACATTAAACGGCACAGCAGACTTGATGAGCTGAATGGCTCATTCCTGCTCCTGTTTTCTGTTTTTCTTTCCTGCGATGATATAGTTGCTATGTATCTCTGCTGCTGAATCATGTTATAGAGGGTCATCTCCATCTCTGACTCTGCTCCCAAAAGTAAATCATTGTTTGTCCCTGTCCTCTTTCCTTCCCTTTACAAAGCTGGTGTCTCCACACTCTCTTGTGCTCTTCATGAAGCTGTTGTTCCCACTCACTGTTGTGCTGTTTAGGGAGTTGTTCTTCCTGTGCTCTCTCCCTATGAAGCTGCTGTCTACATGCTCGCTCTCTTCTTCGTGAAGCTGCTGTCCCTGATCTCTCTCTCTCGTGCTTTGAATACAGGGACACAACCTAAAATTAGTGCTGGGCTGTTCAGAACTGATGTCTGGAGGCATTTCTTACACCAAGTGGAGTGGAAATCTCGACGCTCTCATATCCAAAAAGCTATTGTGGCTCAATTGAAAACTTCAAAACAAATTAATGGTTTTATGCTCGCCAAAATATTTTAAGGCTTGAGAACCAATGTTGACAAATGGAATTAAGCTATCAATCAGTCACATCACTAAAACAGATTTTATGATCGTTATTACATTACTATTTGTGTGAACTTACCATGTGCAAATTGACTGCAAAATTTCTTACATTGCAACAGTGACTACACTTCAAAAATACTTCAGTGGCTGTAAAGCACTGAAGTTGTGAAACATGCTTCATAATTTTAAGTTTTTATTTATCTGAATGGCAGAGAATGCTCCTGGTTTTTGAATCAACTACCCCGGTCCTATATTTAGAGAGGATGTATAGAAGTCAAATAGCAAAACGTATTCTTGGCATTTAACCCTTGCACTGTTTATTTACCTATTATTTTCATTTTTAAAAAACTATTGGGTGTAAATTCAAAAATACTTTTGAGGCAACCAATATGTTTAACTTCAACTGAAATAGAAGAGTGCTTAGTGTCCAAACTGTAAGCACTACAGACCACACTGTACAGGAACGGTTCATCTTACCTGAGCAGGCAGTCCCCTATTCCTTCCCCACAGACCTGTACATTTCTTCTTTATGAGTATTTACTCTATTACCTTTGAAAGTTACTGCTGATTCTATTTCCACTAGTATAAGAGGCAACACACCGAGATCACTTTAACTCTGGATACTGTGTCCTAATTCTGTGCTTTCTGGTAACTGGCCCTCCTTTCTGTGAAAATAGTTTCTCCTTATTTAGTCTCATAAAGATCTTCATAGTTTATCACTTTTAATCAACATCTTAGTATTGAGTGCAGTTTTGTTATATGTTAAATGGCTATAATAGTATAATTAAGATATCACCTGTATTTTTGGATCTTCCCAACAACATTTCAGGTTGTAAGAATGCCAATGCCTGACACTCTAATAGCCACTTCCTCAAAGCCTGCATAGAAAGCAAAGTAACATGTACTTTTAAATTGTTCATCCAGCTCTACACCTTGTTATCTCAGATTCTCCAGCATCTGCAGTTCCTGCTATCTCTTAAGTAAAGACTATCCTCTTCAAACATCAGGATCTAATTTAAATGCATTTTACAACTGGCAGTACGTGATTTCACAAGTCATATATACTCTGCAAAGCAAACATAAGAACAAGAGGAATAAGCTGTTTAGACTCTCGATCCTGTTCCATAGTTTAATTAGATCACAGCTGACCTCTGTTTGAACTCCCATCTATCTGCATCAGCTAGATTACTTTGACAAACAAAAATAATATAAATTAACGAAGGGATTTGATTCTTTAGTTCCCTTTCACATAACGGACGTGAATGATCCCTCATATATTTGATAAAGAGCATAGTTGATAGTCTGAGTGAGGTATGAACTGCTTTTCAGAGCAGAGTAAACCGAGATGAGATTTGCTAAAGTAATTTACAATCATAACATATTCATATAAAGGAAATACATAGAAATTGTTTTCGATGGCTGGAAGTTTGATAACCAGAGTTCATGGATTTAAGGCAAGGTAAAATGACCAAAGGTTCATCTTATGCAATGAGAGATTAGGATTTGGAATACACTGTCTAATTAGGTGGTAGAAATAGGTTCAATAGTAATTTTCAAAAAGAAATTGGATAAATATTTGAAGGAGAAAAATCACAGGGATAAGGGTAAAAGGGCCAGGGGTTGGGTTTAACAGAGTTGATTTTTCAAAGAGATGGTACAAACTTGATGGGGCAAATGGCCTCTGTTGGAGCTGTACTATTCAATGATTTTATTCTATATTGTCCAGAATGGCAAAAGAGAAAAAACATTTGTGTTGGCCAGGGTGATATGGAGGCTTTGCAGAATTATACTTGTAAGTGATCACGACAAACAATGTGAACAGGTAAGTGGCAAAACAATTCTTTGATGTTTGATAATTAAATAGCAAATTTTGAAAAGGAAACCAGATAAAACAGCTCATTTTTCAATGCTTTCAGGAAAATCACAACTGTGGAAACTATTTTGGTGAAACTGGTTTTGTCTTTTGATTCCACTGATTGGTAAAGACTGCGTAGAATGACAGCAGAAGTCTCGATCACATTGGCAATGCGTACCAGCAAAGTTACATAAATAATGTAAGTAGAGTCTGTCCTACTTTTATTCAGACTCGTGCAGTTTCATTCATAGGCTTGGCTTGCTATACTGCATGGGCTCTTGCTTGAATAAACTGTTTGCTGTAAGTCCTGCCTACCCCCACTCTGTTAGCTTTCACATTCATTTTCACTCCATTCCATTAATAAATGTATCCTTATGAATGTGACTCAAAGGCAGCTTACATCTGCAAGTGCTCTGGTTCTGACAAACAGGATAGTTTTGGTTTCTGGATTGTTTTTATATTCTTCTTTCAGAATGCTCTTCACTTCAGTCAGCTTGGGATTCTCATTGCTTGGATCAGCATCGATTTCTAACAGCTGCTGTTTCTTATCTAAGGGACAGAAAGTAAATCATGGGATTCAACAAATGCACCAAAAATCAACAACAAAAAGAGAGCAGTGCACAATATCAAGCACAAATAAAATTTCAACCATGAATTGCACTTAATTAGCACCTTTAACATCGCAAAATGTCCCCAATTTCTTCACAGGTGTGTTTATCTGACATTATTTGACACTGAGCCAACTAGAGAGATATTATGCTAAATGTCTAAAGGTTTGTTGGAGTGGTAGGTTTTAAGGGGCATCTTAAAGGATAGGAGATTTTAGACAGAGCTGAGGGCCAAGGCTGCTGAATGCACTGCTTCCAATGGTGGAGTGATGCAAGTTGGGGACTGCAAGGGCCACAACTGGAGGAATACTCATACTTTGGAGGGTTGTAGTGATAGAAGAGGCTACAGAGAATAGAAGGGATGAAGCCTTGGAGGGATTAGGAAATACAGATAAGAATGTTAAAGCCAAGGCTGATTTTGGGATTATTGCAATTAAAATCGGATAACTCACCTTGCTCAGCCAGAACATGCAGAGTTCAAACCAAAACAGTTCTTCTGAAACTATTTGAAAATGAAAGATCTAAAGCTTGATTGATAATGCAAACGATTTTTTTTACCTTCAAATAACGCAGTGAGCTTTTGTTCGGTCTCGTCATATCCACCCTCCTTCACATTATTAAAAAATTCCTCCAGATAGTCAACAGCATCTTTGGTTCGGGCATCATCATTGATAATCAAAGCATCATTGTATTTCTGAGGGTGAAGAGAAGTTAAAACTGAATTAATAAAGGAGAAGAATTCTTAATAACATGCAATAAAACTATGAAATAAAACTACCAAACTAAACAGGCAACTCATGGATGGCTATCAGGAAACAAATGAGAAAGGGTTGCATCTTTTGAATTGGTATGACAATGAATAGATTCTAATATATATATAAGCAACAAACAAATTCAGTTTATACAGCAGCTACAATGTAATAAAAGGTGTTTTACATCAGTGATTATATTCATATCATTAATTATGTATTAATCAATTATTAATCATCTTTAATTACTCAAAGACTCGTTACTCTGGTGAGGTGTAATTAATGGGAACACCTTGCAATGGGTCTTCGAATCTACTCTTCCACACTTATGGCCTCTGTGTGTGAGAGTCAGTGCTCATTCATGACTGCACCCCTCTCTGGAGGCAAAGATTCATTCTACCCGTATATCTTACAAAGGAGCATGCAGTCATTTAAAGATGGATGATGTCCACTACCCCATTATCATCGAAACTCTGATTCACAGCACATTGCTCGGTTTGGAATTGAGGACTCAAGAACTGATTGCAGAAATGTGGATGTTAAAGCAAAGTCTACTAAAGACAGCATACACATTTAGCACAGCATGTACAACAAAGACACTGAAAGCTGTGTGATGATGGGTGGGAGAAAAGCATTCATATCAGGAAGGTTCTTCAACTGGTCATGGCAGAACTCATTGAACCCCATGTCTTGGAAATGCAATCATGAAGAAAGCCTCAGAAGCTACCTCAACTTAGCACCTGTCTGAACGAGTGCTGATTTTTCTCAAAAGCCCATCAGAACAATGCTGTCACTCTTGACTGTAGAAGCAGATGTTGTAAAGCGTTCAAAGAGTTGATAGTTTGACTTCTATTGTACAACAGGAAAGGCAAAACAAAGAAGCTGGAGTTGTGAAGAGCACATTGTGTCATGGTATGTGACACCCTTATGGGAAAGTAGAAAATAGAAGCATTCAGCTCTTTGAGTCTGTTCCACCACTGATTATGTTCATGTCTGATCATTCAACTCAATAGCATGTTCCTGCTTTACTCCCATTTCCTTTGATCCTGGTAGCCCCAAGTACTTTTTCCAATTGGTTCTTTCATCCCAGGAATCAGTCTGGTAAACCTTTGCTGTATGCCCTTCTATTTAGATTCATTTAATATTGTCACATGTATCTAAGTACAGTGAAAAGTGTTGTTTCATGTACTAAACACAAAGTGTCACCACCCTCTGGCACCATCTTGGACACGGAATTATATAGCATGATATTAACGCAACAGTTTCACTATTCCAGGTTCAGAAATTCATCTTTTCCATTTCCTTTCCAGTTGGTTTCTCCCACTCTGCTCCTCCAGTCACACAGCCTCAACCCCTGACTGATGTCTGTGTAGCTCCCTGACTGAGTTAGCAATAATCCCCGGATTGGTCTGACTTGACCTGTAGGACTAACCATGGCCAAATCCTGACAGCACTAAACACCCAACTGACTGCGGCCAACCCCCTGGACTGATATCAGGCAACGTCTGAGTGTGGTAGCACCCACTGGATAACCATCATCCCTCTTCACTACAGTAACAACTACTCCTCTTGGGCTTTCAGACATGGCCAATCAGTTGGAGCTCATGTTGTGTTTGTTGCTGAAGGTGCAGACAAATGCTGTACGTGTGACATTGACATAGCATGATGTTATACAACAATATGCTGACCCGTTTGACTGCTCTGTGCCAGCAACCATGACAAGCTGCCTGGCTTTGTGTCTGTCCTGAAAGGCAAGGTAAAACAATGATGCTGCTAACATGGAAATTCTGAACAAAGTGGTAATGTGCTAAAGGGCAAGGCGAAGATGCTGTAAACATTCAAGTAAGTACAAATTGAGTGAACTTCAAGGATGCAAGCTAACAGCACAGAGATGTAGCCTGTTCTGATGCATAAAATGGGTGCATGTTCCTGTACAAAGCAACATGGCAGCAGCATTGCAATGTAAGGTATCAGTGAGCTCCAAAATGTAATTGTGAAGTGCTGAAATGTGTTCAGAGTTAATCGGAGTTGTGCTACGATGATGTGTTGAGGCAAGTGTTTTGCTGAAATCGACTCCTGTGAACAGGGGATATATCCAGTTGCTGCCCATGGAGCATGCCCTGAGATGTTGGGGAATGCTGGCCAAGGTACAGTCCTGGAGGAGAAACTGGTGAGCTACAGCCACCAGGTTATCGTTCTGACTTTCAACTCATGCATTGGTAGCACCTAGTTGCTCACTGGTATGTGGGAGAATTGTAAGTTGCTTAGAAAAGAGGTGAAATTAGCTAATGCATGCAAATTGGGTCCTTACCACCTGCTTGTAAGGTTTCAATGGCCAGGTGATAATCACAAGGGAAAAATCAGACTTTCCTTCTCAACATCAAAAAACTCATTTATTTATTCTTGCTGCATTCTCCCAAACTTTTCACCCTTGCCCATGCCACTGAAGGGCTGGGAATATTTGACCAAATTACTCTGTTCCTCGCTCCACAGTTGCTGTTGGACTTGCCGAGTTTTTTCAGCACTTTCTATTTCAGATTTCTAGCATCTGCAGTTTTTTGCTTTTTTTTAAATATATGACCCAAAGCTCATGTCTTGAAAAGCTGAAGGCAGAAGACAAACCGGCTGTAGCACGATATCAAATTATCAGACTTGATGAAATGAACAGTGGTCAACTATATATCCAAATATTTCAGTGCCATCAGGTGTTTAGTTCAACTTTTATATATGAAAGAACAAAAGAGAAGTGTAGCACAGGAACAGGCCCTTTGGCCCTCCAGGCCTGTGCTGATCATCATGCCCTAACTAATCTAAAAAGCAAATCATCTGCCCTTATTCGGTCCGTATCCCTCTATTCCCTCCCTATTCATGTAATCATCCAGCTGCTTCTTGAATGTCGCTAGCGTGCGTGCTTTCACCACCTGTTCTGACAGTGCGTTCCAGGCTTCTACCACTCTCTGGGTGAAAAATGTCCCTCGCACATCTCCCTTAAACTTTCCCCCTCTCACCTTGAACCTACGCTCCCTTGTAACTGAAACTTCAACCGGGGAAAAATATCTAGAATGAAATACTGGACTATATGAAAAAAAATCTTCGTCCGTCAGTTCAAAATCTGAAAATAGTTGAGTTTGAAACCAAAATAGCTAGAAATGGATTTCTCACAAACACAGCTAAAACCCTATTGCTGGCACAGATAAATTCTCTCACCCGTAAGTGCTCAGTGTAAGTGAAAAGCGCCCGACAGATCCGTCTTTCCTCTTCTACGTCATCCATTTGGAGGACTTTGCACTTTTTCTGCACTTCAATAATCCATTGCTCGAACTTTTGTGTCCCATAGTTTCGATTCTGGATGTGCGAAAGGTTACCTGTATGCACAAAATACAGACTAAGAGAGAGCTTTACTGTATTGCTGAATGCTGCTTCTTACCAGCAACATCTGCAATTCAGGCAGAATAAGATGCGTATTAAAAATATGGACAAAATGAAGAATCTCAGGGTAAGACAGCATGCAGAATGGCACAATTCATAATGCAGTAACAGATTTCCTCCACGTGTAATACCATCCAAATATATTTCCAAATGTACAACAATAGGTGGGAAAAAAATCAAAATCTTTACAAACCATTGCCTAGTCAGCATTGACTAGACAGGTCAAATACTCTTTGCCAATGTAAAAATATTTCTTTAAATTGCAGCTTACCAATGTTGTAAACGTTCCTGGCCATTGCTTCAATTTGAGACATCATCTGAGAGATAATGTCTGCAAATTGATCCTTTTTACGCCTGGCAGTGTGGCGAGTATCTGTCAAAGAACAACAAAAACATAAAAATCGAAGTTTACTAACACATTTCAGGATGTAGTGATCTTAACAGTTAAAAAGCAAAGCAACTTCAGCTAATGACAGTCTTTCCCTTGTCCTGATTTGCTTGGTTTCTTCACAGAAACATGTGATTAATCCCCATTTCCTATTTGCTGTGTCAGTAAGTTTCTGCTTACTTTTGGCAGCCAATACATTTATTTGCATACCTTCATCAGCAGCAGTATCTGTAAACAGCAACGGTCCACCTCATTTGTCAGCTCGAGTTATACAGCTTTGTGGAAAAAACAGAATCAAAGGCCAGGAATTTTGTTTGAACTGATTTCATCAATGCTGTAACCTTGTATAAATATTATGTAAGTCTCAATGTGATAATGATGATACTTGAATTGGAGAACCTTAATTCTACCAAAATTGAGGCCAGATATTCGTTTATATTCTACTTTGTTTTGTACACATCAAATAAAGCATTTGTTCGAATCAATTTCCTGCTTTTACTGTCTAAGCAGGTCTTTTTTCCCCAGTAACTTTAATGACAGATTCTGCAGTGACATAACGCTGTACAATTTCACAGCACAAAAACAGGCCTTTCAGCCCAAGTGATTAATACTGGTTATATGCTGCACATGGACCACTTCCCATCTTACAAGTCTTTCCATTCATTTTCTTCCTTATGCATTTATCCAATTTTCCCTTAAATGTGTCAATACAGTTTAATTCAATCACTCCCCTGGGATAGCAAATTTCATATTCTCTCCATTCTCTGGTTGAAGATGTTTCTCCTGAATTCCTTATTGGACGTATTAGTGGTCAATTATTGCACAGCAATCAGCAATGTGATGCCAGGAGGCAAACAGGTTGCAAAAAGCAGTCTTCCCTTTAAGATATGTGCATGCACGGCCATGCATAAGTCTTAAAAGGCAGCACTGTGTAACAAACAGGCTGCACACAGCAAAGAAAATGTCTGTATCACCCAACAACCCTGAAAGGTTCACATTGCGCGTGCAGGAAATTCTGGTCATGCAGACTTTGTGGAATACCCCAATGAATAAAATATAGTGATGCCCAAATACGAACAACAAATATGAGTGAACAGACAGAATTACGTCACTGACAGTACTGGCAGGAGTACCGTGCATGCATAGTTTGCACATCTGCATGGTTTGCACACCTGCATGAGGGCGTTTTGGGGATGTCAGCAGATAGTCTTGAAGGAAAGTACAGGCACCATTGTTCTTGATTTCACCTATGGTTGCTGAACTCCCCCACAGGTGGAAATGCCTCTTCTACATTTAACTATGAAGCATAGTCTTTCATAATCTTTAAAGACCTTTCCATAATCTTAAAGAGCTAATGGACATACGGCAAGAATAAACTCATTAGGCATGGGGCAAAACTAAAATTTCAATGCTACGCTTTAACCTGCTGGGATACTAATGCAGTTAGGAGTCTTACGTTTTTTTGGAACAAAGACATATTTATTCAGTTCTGCCACATTCTTTTGTACAGTTGATATGGATTCGGCATCAAGATTGGCACAAATTTGGAGAATATAATTCACTGCATCGTTGAATGAGCTAGCATCACCAACTCCAAGTGATGCTGTCAATCCGACAATCTACTGACAAGCAAAAAGAAAAATTCATGTTACATAGAGGTGTGATCAAAAGCAACTCTAGCATTCTCTTTCCTTCCTCGCAAAATGTCTTAAAAAAGCTTTAACAGTTGTTTTGTTTTCCCTCCTAGACGTGCCACTGAAAGGTGGTGGTTGAGTACATCAGGGATCCCATATATGGATGAGAAGTAAACTGGCTGGTGTTCTTGGCTCTGATATGGTTTCCTGGAAGTTGTCTGAGACAGCACATTAATGCTGGGTGTTTGCACCAACTTGTCGCTGGTCTCTAGTTTCTTAAAGATAACAAAAGCAAAGGAAGCAACACAACCTCAACTTAATCTGACACTCAGCCTCAACAAGAACTGGGGCAAGTGGAGAAAGGGAGAAATGGAACTCCATTGTGAGAGACGAGGATAGATCATGAATGATTAACCACTAAGCCAGGCTTACCTGCTTGTAAACAATACAGAGCATGGGAAAGGGAGGGAGGGTAGGAGAACTAAAGGGAAGGAAGGTCTATGATAGTCTGAATTTACGAGCTGGACACGATAAACCAGGCAAGACCTAACCAGTAATTTATTAATGGTTTAACATAACTTCCTAACTTCTGTAATAAAAACAGAAATTGCTGGAGAAGTTCAGCAAGTTTGGTAGCATCTGTGGAGAAAAACAGAGTTAACTTTTCAAGTCCAGTGGCCCTTCTTTAGAACAGTTCTGAGGAAAGATCACTGGATTCGAAATATTAACTCGCTCTTCTCTCCACATATGCTGCCAAATCTGCTGACTTTCTCCAGCAATTTCCATTTTTGTTTCAGATCTTCAGCATCCGCATTTCTTCATTCTAGTCATTCCTCACTTCTGTACTCTACACTCAAATTTATAAAACAGAGGACCCCATCACAGAAATCAGGCAAAGGAACAGGAGAGCCAGAAGTTTAACCTGGGGTAAACTGCTTGTCTTTGTGCCCAACTTGAGATCGATGTACATCTTCATTAAAACATTGTATGGGTGGTTTTTCGTTGTGTTGTGGCATTCATCAAAAATCAACAGTGTAAATAGGGACAAGGATGGAATTCGTTTATCTTTGAGACAATTCAGCAGAATCTGTGGTGTCAAGACGATGATATCGTTTCTCTCAACCAACATTTGCACTGGAGAGCTGTCCGCTGTATCACCACACAGTCCACACACCTCGTAGCTGGAAGATGAAGGGCAAATGAAAATTAGTCTGGTCTAAGAATTAACCAGTGATCACTGAGCAGTCATAAATGTTAACATTTATATTATGGCACCCATCAATTAAAGCAAGGTGCAAATTTATATAGCACTTTTTGAAACCTCAGGATTTTCCAGAGGACTTCACAGGAAATTAAGTACTTTTCAAACTATGGTCACTGCTGCAGGAAACATGGCTACCAATCTGTATGCAGCAAGCTTCCACAGATCATCATATTTTTAAGTGATGTTGGTTGAGGGATAAAGGTCAGCTGGAACACAATAGAAAAACAGTGCTGTCTGTGGGATCTTTTATATTCACCTGAGAGGGCAGATAGCACTTCAGTCTAAAAGCTCAAGTTGAAAGATGGCACCACCAACAGTGCAGCACCCTCGTGCTACTACACTGGGAGTGTTAGACTAGATTGTTGTGCTCAAGTTCCTAGACTGGGACTTGAGCTCCAAACCTTTTGATTCAGACTTAGCAGGAGTCGACTGCCTATCTGTTGAACAGATTCTTATTTATGACTCTGTGATCTAAATTTTAATTCCCGATTCCACAGGTGAAAGCTGTAACATTGAAGGGAGCCTGGTCTTTTTCTTTGGACTTCTGACCTTAAAATCAGTGAAGATTTATGAATTACCTCTCATAGGTAATAAAAACTTCAAAGCTGAAAAAAAAACTATGGTTAGATGACATGGAGTTATTGTGAGCAATTTTGGGTATTACAACTTAGGAACACAACTTAGGGAGCTCAGCGTAGATTTACAGGAATGATAGCTGGACTCCAAATGCTAAACTATGACAAGAGATATCACACTAAAGGTTACACGACCTCTTAATATTTTAAATTGAAGAAATTTGATTGAAGTTTAAGCTATTAAGAGGGGCTGATTTAGTTGACAGAAACCATTTCTAATGGTTGGAATTTGAGGACTAAGAGGAACAGTATAAAATTTAGAGCTGGGCCTTTAAGAAATGAAAATAGGAAACATTTCTAAACACAAAGGGTGATGCAATGTTGGACTTACTCTGCAAATTCTAAACCTGAGACTGAATGATTTTAATTATTGATTTTTTTAAGGGATATAAAGAAAATTTGATATTTGGAGTGAGGTTGCAGAATAGCAATGATCTCATTGGATGGTTGCACAAATATGATAGACTAAACGATTCCCTGTTATTCCTATGTTCTAATAGTTGGACAAAGTGAGTGTGGAGTCAATGCTTCTGCCTGTGGGGGAAACCAAAACGAGGGGTCAGAAACACAAAATAATCGATAATGAAAAATACAGGAAAATTGCTTTTCTCAGAGAAGGATGAATGAATTGGTAACTCAGGAAATGGTTGAGAAATACGTTCAAAGATGAGAAAATAGAACAGGAAATGGAAGGAACGTTGCATGGACTACATGGAGCAGCGCAGATTTTCTGATGAAAGGCCATCAACCTGAAACAACATTTTCTCTTTACATATGCTCCCTGTCCTACTGTGCAATTCCAACATTTTCTGATTTTATTTCAGATCTACAACACCTACAATATTTTGCTTTCATATTATAGATCACTTGGGTTGAACAGCCAGTGTCTTCACTGTGCATTCTGTGCCAACATAACTGGAGTTTAGCACACTACCAAAAGGAATTTCTGAAATAACAGCAAAATCCTGCAAATGATGTTGCTTCTACAAAGGACTGAGACATTGTCATTTCTGGGTGTACCTAGTTTTCTGGAAGTGTTTCTGGAACAAGTCGTATTGTTGTTCGTAGACAGGAACTGTGGTAGCCATGAAGACAACTTTCCTTTTCACACCCTTGGGAGCTTTGTTAAGGTGATCCTCACTGATGTAGAGGGCGACGATGGTTTTTCCACATCCTTTGAATAGAAACAGGAAAAGACATGCATTTGATTATTACAAAGATATTACCAGGGTTGGAGAGTTTGAACTATAGGGAGAGGCTGAGTAGACTGGAACTACTTTCCCTGGCGTGTCAGAGGGTGAGGGGTGACCTTATAGAGGTTTATAAAATAATTAGGGGCATGGATAGGGTAAATAGGCAAGGTCTTTTCCCCGGGGTGGGGAGTCCAAAACTACAGGGCATAGGTTTAAGGTGAGAGAGGAAAGATATAACAGGGACCTAAGGGACAAGTTTTTTATGTAGAGGGTGAGCGTACATGGAGTGAGCTGCCAGGGGAAGTGGTTGAGGCTGGTACAATTACAGCATGTAAAAAGCATTTGGATGGGTAAATGAATACGAAGGGTTAAGAGGGATATGGGCCAATGGACTAGGTTTATATAGGATATCTGGTTGGCATGGACATGTTGGACTGAAGGGTCTGTTTCCATGCTGTATATCTGTATGTATGTATAATGGCACTTTTGATACCATGGCAAAGTTCATTGCCATTCAATGCAGATATGGGCATTTAGATAGTTGTAGTTATTCTCTAATGTCCAGAGGCAAATGAGGCAGGTTCTTCTTCACAACAGTAAGAGGAAAAGTGAAAAGAAACTTTACATAGATTGCCTGATTCTGATTAAATTATTTCACTAGAAACGCAGAAGCTGGTTCTAATGTTCCAGAGAGTTTCAGATCAAATCCCAACAGGATAGTTAGAAACTTTGAAAAAGTATATATTTTTTCTATGCCATTATCCAAGCAGTTAATGAACACTGCCAATAATTGAGGCCCTAACACAGATCCTTGTGCAACACCACAGGTCGCATCCTGCCAAATTGAGTACCTACCCTACTTTCTGTTGCCTGCCACACAACCAATTTCCCAGCCATGTCAGTAATTTGCCCTCAATTCTGTGGGTGTCCACCTTAGTTAACAGTCTCTTATGTGGGACATTATCAAATGTCTTCTGGAATTCATATAAACAACATGGCACATAGGAAAATAGGGTAGTGTCCTAGGCCTAATCTTCTTCAGCTCTTTCATCAACGACCTTCCTTCCATCACAAGGTCAGAAATGGCGTTATTCGCTGATTACTGCACAAGGTTTAAGGTTTAGCATCATTCATGACTCCTCTGATACTGAAGCAACCCATGTTCAAATGCAACAAGATCTGGAAAATATCCAGGGTAGAGCTGACAAGTGACAAGTAACATTGACACCACACAAATGCCAGGCAACGACCCTCTCCAATAAGAGATGATCTCTCCACTACCCATTGACATTCAATGACGCTACCATCACAGAATCCCCCACTATCAACATTTTGGGGATTACTATTGACCAGAAACTCACCTGGACTAACCATATAAACACAGTGGTTCAACAGCAGGTCGGAGGCTTGGAATACTGCAGCATGTAACTCACCTCCAGACTCTCCAAAAACTGTTCACCATCTACAAGGCACAAGTCAAGAGTGTGATGGAATACTCCCCACTTGTCTGGATGGGCATAGCTCCAACAACACTCAAGAAGCTTGACACCATTTAGGACAAAGCTTGCTTGACGGGCACCAGAATCACATGCATTCACTCCCTCTACCACTGACTCTCAGTAGCAGCAGTGTATATTATCCACAAGATGCACTGCAGAAATTCACCAAAGATCCTTAGACAGCACCTTCAAACCCACAACCACTTTCATCTAGAAGGACAAGTGCAGCAGATACATGGGAACACCACCATCTACAAGTTTCTCTCTGAGCCACTCACTATCCTGACTGAAAATATATCGCCGTTCCTTTACTGTAGCTGGGTCAAACTCCTTCAATTTGCTCCCTAAGGGCATTATGGGTCAAGCCACAGCATGTGGATTGTATAAGTTCAAGAAGTCGACTCACCATCAACCTCCTCAAGGGCAACTAGGGATGGATACTAAGTGCTAGCCATCCAATGAAGTCCATGTCGATGAATGAATAAAAAATAATGCAGGCATTCCCCTGTCCATCACCTTAGTCACCTCTTCAAAAAACTCAGTGAGGTTTGTCAGGCATGACCTACGTGTCATAACTTCATGCTGGATCTCCTTGATTAACTGTAAATTTTAGGTGTTCACTTACCCCATCCTTGATCATAGACTCCAACAATTTCCCCATAGATGTTAAACTAACTGGTCTGTAATTCCCTGGTTTTCATCTTTTGCCCTTCTTAAAAAGCAGAGCGACATGCAATTTTCCAATCCAAAGGGATGACTCCTATATCTAGTGAACTCTGAATGATTACAGTTAAGGCATCTAGAATGCACTCCTCTACTTCCTTTAACATGTTCAGATGGAAACCCTCACTTCCTGTGGATTTGTCACTCTTTAATTCCATTAATTTCCTCAAGGTCAGAAGTCACATGACACCAGGTTATAGTCCAACAGGTTTGTTTGAAATCACAAGCTTTCAGAGCGCAGCTCCTTCATCAGGCGAAGGCTTCATCTTGATTGATTGATTTGATTTATTGTCATGTGTACCTAACTACCACAAAGAGCTTTGTTTACAAGCAATACAGGTAGATCACAGTAAGCAAGACATACAGATCAGGGGGAAAAAAAAAAACTTGGATTTAGGCATACAGGTTACATTGTGCAGAGCATGCGCTAGGCAAGATCAACATTAACAAGACCAACATTATTTGAAGTTAGAGAGTCCATTCATCAGTTTAATAACAGCAGCGAAGAAGCTGTTCTTAAAACTGCTGATGTATGTGTTCAAGCTTCTACATCTTCTCCCTGACGGAGGAGGTTGTAGGAGAGCATTACCGGGATGGGATGGGTCTTTGATGATGTTGGCAGCCTTTCCATGGCAACAAGCCATATAAATGGAGATCATGGATGGAAGGTTGCCTTCTGTGATGGTCTGGGTTGTGCCATCAACCTGCTGTAGTTTCTTACTGATCTAGGCTCAGCAGTTACCATAAACGTCCGTAACGCACCTGGACAGTATGCTTTCAATAGTGTGTCTGTAAAGGTTGGTCAGGGTCCTTACTGACAAGTCAAATTTCCTGAGGAAGAAGAGATGTTGTTGTGCCTTCTTGACTGTCTCATCTACATGGGAAGTCCAGGACAGGTTGTCAGTTATCATCACTCCTAGGAACTTGATGCTCTCAATCTGACAAAGGAGCAGCACTCCAAAAGCTTGTGATTTCAATTAAACCTGGTGTCGTGTGACTTCTGACCTTGTCCACCCCAGGTCCAACACTGGCATCTCCACATCATTAATTTCCTCATTACTGATGTTTTACTTACATTAATTTTATTCAGTCCCTGTCCCTGATCCACTACTAATTTCCTAGGGACATCGGCAAGCTATCCTCTTTTTCTACAAGACACAGTGAGGCAAAGTAATTATTCAACATGTCTGCCATTTCCCCATAGACACTGACAATATCCGCACTTTCAGTCTTTCGTGGGCCAACATTCCTTCCGATCATCTGCTTTCCCTTTATGTAACTATAAAATTTCTTCTTATCGATTTTGATGTCCCTTGTAAGTTTCTTTCCAGAATAAAAGATGTAGGTTTTAAGGAGCCTTTTAAAAAAGGAAAGAAAGACAGAGGGAGGGAATTCCAGTGCTGAGGTCATAGATAAGTTGAAGGCACACCATTCGGAGTGAAGAAATTTGGAGATGGCAGAAGAGGTCAAGCAGATACCAATCATTTGTTTCTTAGCTGTACCTGTAGGAGCGCAAATGATTGTGTTGTCGCCATCAACTACGTGTTCTGCCAGCTCGATTTGATAGTCTCTCAATCGTAAATTCTCCAGAGCTGCTGAGTTTTGTTGAAACTTTTCTGTGAGAAAGAAATATAAAAGTAGTTAAGTGTCAGGAGCAATGGTTGTGGAGATACAGTCAGACTTTTACTGAGCTCTGTTAGTTGAGTTTGAGCATATTGTTTAATGTCTCCAATGACGACAGTCATTTACACATATTCCAGAACCCAAATTACAGAAAGGTACCTGGTAACAGTACTCAGGAACAGAACGGCCTCTTGGACAAGAGTTGTGCACCAAAAGAGTTACCACCTTGGGGCAGGTATTTTCCAAATGGTTTTCTGCTAGTTGATATGGCTCAGGAGAGTCAATAGAATCATTGAATGGTTACTGTACAGATGAAGATTATTCAGCCTTTCAAGTGAATGCTAGCTTTCTGAAAAAGAAACCCTGAGCCTATTCTCCTCACTGTTTCCTAATAGCCCTGTAAATTTTGTCCTTAAATAATGAAACAATTCTCTTTTGAAAGGCATGATTGAATCTGTCATCACCATAAAACACGGGAGCAGAATTAGGATATTTGGACTATCAAGTGCATGCTTCCATTCGATGACACATGACTGATCTGACAAGCCACACTTCCACTTTGTGCCTTTTTCCCCATAAGCTATTGGGTAAAAATGTCTATCTCATCCTTGAATATATTTAACAACACGTTTGTAGTAAACAATTCCACAGATTCATTACCCTTGGAAGAAATTCCTCATTGTTTCTGTCTTAAATCTGTGACCCCTTACTCAGATTATTTTAAAAGCTCTCCCATAAGGGAAAATAACATCTCCACATCTATCCTGTTACACATCCTAAGAATTGTATATGTTTCATTAAGTTCGCTTCTCATTCTTCTGAACTCCAGTTAGTACAGGCCTGGTCCACTCAACTACTCTTCATAGAAAAATTCCTCAATGCCCAAAACCAAACTAATGAGCCTGCTCTGGACTGCCTCCAATGCCAGTATATCTTTCCTTAGATTCGAGGCTCAAAACTGTTCACAGCATTGCAGGTCTGGTCTAACTAGTGCCTTGTATAGTTTTGGCATACTGCATTACCTTTGAAATAAAGTCCAACATTCCATTTGCCTTCTCTATTAACTGAACCTACATGCTAGCATTTTGTGATTTAGGGATGAGGGCTCCCAAATCCCTCTTGTCCTGCAGCTTTCTCCATTTAAATATATTCAGCTCCTTTATTCTTCCTGTCAATGTGCATATCCGTACATTTCTCCATTATATTCCATCTGACAAGTTTTTGCCCAATGACCTAACTGGCCTATATCCTTCTGCAGACTCTGTCATCCTCACCACTCACCTTCCTGTCTATTTTTGTGCCATCCACAAACTTGATGATAATACATTCAGTTCCTCATCAAAGTTATTAACATAGATTGTAAATTGTGGCTCCAGCACTGATCTATGTGGCACTCAATTAGTTACAGGTTGCCATCCTATAAAACAGCATTTTATCCCAACTGTCTGCCTTCTACGATTCTCAGTCCATGTTAATATCCTACTCCAAATACCATGGGGTCTTATTTTATCAAGTAGCCTTGTTTGTGATACCTTATTGAATGCCTTTTGGAAATTCAAATATATTACATCTACCTTTTTTTTATTTGCTCACGGGATGAGAACCAGCATTTATTGCTCATTCCTAATTGCCCAGAGGGCAGTTAAGAGTCAACGACATTGCTTTGGCTCTGGAGTCACAAGTAGTCCAGACCAAGTAAGGATGGTGGATTTCCTTTTCTAAAGGACATTAGTGGAGCAGATGGGTTTTTCCTGACAGTCAGCATTGGTTTCATTGTCATTGTTAGACTCTTATATTTCCATCTTATTACTGAATTCAAATTCCATCATCTGCCATGACAGGATTTTAACCCAGGTCCCAGAACATTACCTGGGTCTCTGAATTAATAGTGTAGGCTATCACCTCCCCCTACTGATTCCCCTTTATTCATCCCAGCTTGTTACTCCTGAGAAAATACTAATAAATTTTTCAGGCATGGTTTCCCCTTCCCAAAGCCATGTTGACTCTGCTTGATTAGATCATGTATTTCTAAATACTCTGCTACTACATCCATTGTAATGTACTTTAGCATTTTCGCAATAACAGACATTAAGCCAACAGCCTATTGTTATCGTTTTGGCTCCTTCACTTTTTACGTTAAGATGATACATTGCAGTTTTTCAATCAGCTGGGACTTTACCACAATCTAAGAATTCTTAGAAGATTACTACCAGGGCAACCACTATTTCTGTAGCTTTAATATCCTAAGATCCAATCCATCAGGCTCAGGGGACTTATCAGCCTTTAGCCCTATTAATTTTCCTAGTACTTTTTCTTTAGTGACAGTTATTGTGAATATTTCCTCTTTCTTTTTTGCCCTTTTGATGATTCAGTATTTTTGGGATACTATTAATGATGTCTACAGTGAAGAGATTATTTAACTTCTCTGTCATTTCTTGCTTCTCCATTGTTATTTCTTTGGCCTCATTCTCGGAGGGGCCTGTGTTCACTTTTGCCTCTCTCTTTATTTTAATGTATTTAAAGAAGCTTTCATTGTTTATTTCTATATTACTTGCACGTTTACCCTCAAAGTCCCTCTATTATTTTTTCAGTTGTTTTTTGATGGTTTTAAAACACTCCTTAATCGTCTATATTACTACTAATCTTTGCCACATTATTACTTTCTTTCAATTTGATACTGTTCTTAACTTCTCTAGTTAACCATGGTTAGCCTATCCTCTTCCTAGAATTCTTCTTCTCACTGGGATATATCTTTGTTTCGACTCCTGAACTAATTTCTTAAAGGTCTGGTGTTGTTCTTCAACCATTTTCTCAGATTAAAAAAAACTCTCAGTCCATTCCAGCCAACTCTGTTGTCATTATTTATAATATTTGATATTGAAGTTTGAGCACAGCTGTTTCTAACCCAAGTTTCTCACATCCAAACTGAATCCTACCATATTTTGGTCACTGTTTCCTAGAGAACTTTTACTGAGATCGTTTATTAAACATGCCTTATTGCACATTACCAGATCCAATCTACGAAAATCCAAAACCAATACCAGTTCTGATGAAGGGTCACTGGACTCAAAATGATAACTGGTTTTCTCTTTGCAGATGGTGCCAGACATGTTGAGTTTCTCCAGCATCTTCTGTTTTAGTCAAATACCTGATTGGATCCACAACATAATAGTCTAGGAAGCTGTCTTGAATACGCTAGGAATTTTTCCTCATGGTTATCTATGCTAACCTGACTTTTCTAATCTACATGAAGATTAAAATCACCCATGATTAATGTACTGCTTTTTTTTTTAACATGCTGTCGTTATCTGCTGTTTTATCCTCTGTCCAATAGTATAGCTATTACTAAGAGATCTAAGGATTACTCCCATCAGTGTCTTCTTCCCTGATTATTTCTTACCTTCACCCATATTGATTCTACATCTTCTGAAACAAATCATTTCTGGCTATTGTACTTATTTCACTTAATACTAAAAAAGCTATCCCAACTTTCCTTCCCACCCACCCTTTCAAAAAGTTACATATCCATCAATATTTAGTTCCTGGCTTTGATTTTGTGACAGTATACACAACCACACTCCGAGGTGATGCATTCTCTCATATCACCTTTGGTTCCTTTAGCATTCATCTTAAATTGGTGTCTTCCGATTCCCAATGGGAACATATTTCTCCCTATCTGCTACGTCGGTCAACGTAGGGCCAAAGGTAAGTAGCTTCAGTAATCTTGAGAGCCAGAGAACTCAATGGTAAGGCAGAGAAGGTAGACAATCGGCCCATCATTCCAGTCTCAGCCCTTGGAAACAGTTATCTCATTATTCCCACTTCCTTCTGCCCTTTCCATGTAGCCTGGCAATAATTCCCCATCAAGTATCTATCCTATTTCCTTTTAAAAAGGGACAATTTAATTTCCTCCTTTTTTGGTCAACACATTTCAGATCATAACAACATGTTATATAAAACAAACTGCATCTGTTCCTTTACAAATACATTAAAAGTTGAAGTTCATTTTATATTAATAAACGAGAGAAGGGTCCAATGGTCCAGGCTACACCCACACACCTTTTCATCACATCTTCGGTTGGTTTTCTCCTGGTATTGGATTGACTGTGTGGAAAGCCTATTCCCTTCTCTTATTCATGGCCATCTGGAACCGGATCAGGTGACTGCTGTGCTTTAGTTGAGTAGAAGTGAGGATGTTGAGCGGAAAGCTCTTGACAGCAACTAAACCATTTAGCATGCACAGCCAACACAGTAGAAGTGTCATTCATGCTTACCTGTATTGCTGACTACTGCACTGCAAGTGTTCATGCTTTCTGCCTCTTCTGAATAATGCATTTCCACATCATTGCTCATAGAATTGCTACTGTTTTCCTCAATTGTTTTCATCTCAACTTGGAAAAAAGAGATGAGGGTTACATAATTATTTTACAGCTCCAGTTCAAGACTTAGCAAAACTCTGTAACCTGGATATACATTCCACATTAGGCATGGTGCTGCTGGTGTGGCCCTTAGTAGCAATATACATCTGGATGTCATTCCTAGTACATTTCTGGTACTTTCTTCTCCTTTGACATCTCAATTTTTTCCAACTTGTCCTTTAAAAAAAACACGTTATCCACTAGCACAAGATGCATCCCCAACTGTCATTCTCCATTAAACTTCTTGAGTTCTGAATTCAGTTCACTGCTGTCCATTTTAAATGCCTTCCTCTGTAAAAGCTCTCTTAACCTACCTCTCAATCATCTCCTGTGACCACTGCATATCCAAGTCACTGATGTGACCAGCAAGGACCCAATCCCTCCTTACCCTTTGCCACCCATTCTCTCTCTCTCCCCCTTCCTTGGCATCTAGGCTTGGATGAGACACTCCCCTAAAGCTATTTACTGAGCACTTTAAGTCTCCCAACCACCACCCTGTGGCCCTACATTGACCAAAATATCTCAATAACAGTCAATTTGCTGAACAGTTCTCTCATCTTTATTGTTATTGCCCAATAACATCACTACCACCTGAAATCTTGCTCACTTTCCCTAGTACAAGCCAAGTCCAGAAGTTTAGAGAATTGAACGGATCTGCTGCATAACCTATTACCCATTCAACAACAGATCTAAATGAATTACATTGATTGTTGATGGGCCTCACAATCTTTAACCGAACCCTCCATCACTCGAAGATCATTCTTCAGAATTACTGTAACTCTGGTTTGTTTATCAACCCTTCACACAGCTCCTTATTTTCATTTCTCCAATTAATTTGTTGCTAACACAACTTAATAAATCTCCCTTTGCCCTAGTGACAATCTCTTTGTGCAGCGCCTTGGGAATTCCTTTCTACACAAATAGAAGAAATGCAATTGAACTGATGGAGTTCATTTTTAATACATGAAAAGTGGGCATCACTGGCAGGGTCAGCATTTATTGCCCATTTCTAGTTGTCCTGAGCAGTGATGGTGAATCATCTTCTTCAATATTACAAAGTGCATTGCTAGGGCAGTTAAGGTGGGTCTGGAGTCACATGTAAGTGAGACCAGATAAGGATGTCAGATATCATTCACTAAAGGCCCTTAAATCTGTTACATCAGTTAATTAGAACACTTCGTCAATCTGTGTCTGCATGGCATCTTCCTCTGTAACCCTAAATACCCTTCTCTCTCCTCAGGTAGCAACCTTACTGTTTAAAGATTACTTAATCATAGCTTATGCACTGATGTGCAAGTTGAGAAAAGAGGTCTTAAGACCTAGCTCAACCTTCACAGGGATTTGAACCCATGCTGTTAGCATCATTCTACAGAACATTCCAGCCATCGAGCCAACTGAGGTAGCCAGCCCCCTTGAATATGCTTACCAAACAAAAAGTCTTTGAACCTTACTTTTGATATTTTGACTTGATTCACAGACTCATTGTCTTTTTGGCAGTAGGATAGTTCCTGCTTTTTCCTTGGTATGAAGAAGTGCTTCCTGGAACCACACTGAACTAACTGGTTCTAATTCTAAAGTCATGACCCAAACCCATTTGTGCTGGATTTCTCCCTGCCACTAACACTGCTCCCCAACCCACACACCCCCAAACTGAGTGAATAATTTCTCATGATCTGCCCTATCAAATATTAGTTTGATCACTTTATAGGCTAACACAATTAAGGGAATTTAAAGTATATTATGTTCCAATATTACTCATGGCTTACTCATTTGCTATTTATTTCATATGACAAGGATTTATAACATATCAGCTATCATTACTTTTACCTGAATCTGGAGACAAGAGCAAGGTCACTGCATCACAGTTGCACCTCTCCAAAGCCAGGCGAAATTCCTTGAAAAAGTTTTGTTTGTCAGACCTTTGTAAACAATCAAGCAGTTTCTGTGCTCCAGCCGTGGAACCTTTGCGTTTTGAAATCTGTGCAAAAGATTGAGAATTTCAGTATTTTTGATTTTTGCCTGGTCACTGAGAGTGGGTGTTAGAAGAGTCTTGGGGTTGAGGGAGGTTACAGTAATTGGGAGAATCACTATGCAGGTGAGAGGTCTTCTGGGTTTTTTTTTGAAAAAATGTCACTCTACTTCTGCACCTCAATTGGTGACTTTTTAATCTGCCTGCCAAAATCATTTCATTTAGTTTATTGTTGATGGACTTCTCCAACTTCAAAATGTGCACTTTTACATTGTTTAATGTAGAACTTCATTAATCACCTATTCACCCTTTTGTCCCCCATCTATATATAACCCTCTAGCAATTTCTCATAGCTATCAAAATTTGTCATATTTCCCACACTTGTGTCATTGATAAATTTGCTGAGTTTCTTCAGCATTCTGATTGTGCTGCAGATTATGGAACTGTGAAATAAACAATATTCAATGCTTAGGAATTTGCTCCCCAATCTTGTCAATTTAGAACTACAAGAAAGAAACTTAATCATCTATAAAATTTGCAAGAGAAAATGAAATGCTAGGAGACCAGTGATATTGATTACTGAAGTTATAGAAAATTTCACAATTATGGCAGAACTTAGAAATAACATTCCTGTAAAGCTAAAAATTTATTTAGATGAACACCAAGTATCAAAGATCAGAAAAGCAGCACATACCTATGATCTCTCATGGGTTAATGGTCACATGGGAATCCACATAGAAAGTGCAGGAATAGGAAATCTGCAAATGCAAGTGATATTTGCTTTGGGGAACAAACAGAAGGATGGAAATTTAATAAAATGAAAAAGGCTAGTACCAAAATGTGATATAAAGGAAACTGCATGCTTCCACTGGATTACAACTTGATATAGTAAAAGAAATTGCTAAGTTGAACAGCAGAACAATTGAAGCCTTCGTAGCATTTAAGGAAGCTTCAGAAAGGGGCCATCAGTTAAGGGAATAGGCATTCAAACTGTAGCAGCAGTACAAAGAGAACATGGCTCCTTAGAATGTGCCAAGAAAGGAGAATTGACTTCCGAGAGTCATGAAAATTCTTCAAATATTGATAGAAAGTCAGACCACTGAAGGTTCTGAATATTACATCTCTATAGGGGAGGTGTTTCCTTGCTCTTCAAATCAAAGAAGTAAACTAATAAAGATACTGAGACACATTTGAGCAAGTCAGCCAATGATGGAAGCTGATGTTATCATTTGTATTCCGGAGAAGTTAGGAGAAAGTATTAACTGGAGATATACATGGAGGTTACAAACCAGTCCCATGATACAAAGCTGGATTAAAAAATGATTTAGCAAGTGGAGACCTTACAGTTAGAGAGTAACAAAGAACTGATTTTATTGTGGAAAGTGACCTCGCAGTTTCAAAATGTTTGGCTTCACCAAGGAAGATTGGAAAAAAAAAACAGAAGTAAAAGTAACTGAGATGCTACAGGAGGAACATCCTGGATTATCTTGTGACGGGGCTGTGACCAGATATCAGGCCCATAAAATTAGACAGGAAGAAGAGGTGACTACAAAGAAAGGAGCTGGCCTGGAAATTCAGTGATTTGAATTTTTGTAAAATTAAATAAGAATGAAAGTTAAAGAGAATGAGGTTGTCATGTTTGGCCCATTTCCTTCTCTAGAAATGAAACAAACGAATGCTCAATCAAAAGAGTTATACCATATACAGAAACTGAATTAGAACCAATACTACAGTGTTAATCCTTGAAATACAAAGACTAAGGAGGGATTAGGGACCACCACAACTACCTCCAATGAGGAATGGGCAACATAGAAGCAGTCTAAGTAGAAATGAGGCATGATAAAGGCAAAAGGTCACTTATGGAAATGCTGTTCAGGCCCTCATACAAGTGACCACAAGTTGAACAGGGTATCAAGAAATAATGGGAGGTTGTCAAAAGAGTACAGCAATTATCACAGGAGATTTTCAAACTTACATATAGACTAGAAAAATTAGTTGGGTAACAATGATCCAGATAAGGATTTCATTAAACGTTTTTGGGACAGTTTCTTAGACCAGCACATCATGGAACCAACAAGAGACTAGATGCTAAAAACATATTAGTAGCTAAGAAATGTTTCTTCAGATATTTATAAAAGAAAAGTTAACAAAAGAACCACAGAAAATGAATCAAGGGAATTCATAGTTGAGGATAAACAGATGGCAGATGAACTGAACAGATATTTTACATCAGTCTTCACTAAAGAGAATACAAGTAGCATCCTGGAAATAGCTGTGAATCAGGAATTGAAAGTGAGGGAGGTATAGTAATTGTAATGAGGTCAGCCAGGTGGACCTCATCGAATATGAGCTCCTTGATTGGACCAGATTAACAGCCCCAACCTGGGAACCCTGGCTGACAGATAAAAGCAGGAAGTGTTACATCCTAGCACTTGGAGAGCTGGCTTTGAGGGAGCTGGATCAGTGTCAAGGACTTTCCCCATGAAATTAAAGGGTGATTTCATGACAGTCACTGTGGAATTCTTTCACTGGCAATGAGAGTAAAGCACATCACTTGCAACAGTCATCTTTGAGTTGGGGTAAACATTGCTTGCACATGCCATTATTTGGGAAGCTTGACTTGTTTGACCCCACTATTGAAGACTGGGCCCAGTATGTGGAAAGAATGTGCTTTTTCTTCAGGCAAATTACATTAGGGCAGACGAAAATCAACGATTAATTCTCCTATCAGCTAAAAGACTTGAGCCTAACTTTTCCTGAGGCACCAGATACTCAAGCGTTTCAAGAGTTGATGGATTAGTTAAGGAATATTACAACCCAAGCCTTCTCTAATTCTGAGATGCTATCAGTTTTATTTAGCAATTCAAGAACCAGGGGAATCCGGATCGGGATTTTTGACTAGGTTAAGACGACTGGCAGAGGCATGTGATTTTGGTTTATCCCTTAAATAGGTGCTGAGAGACAGTTTGGTATGTGGGATTAATGATGTGACCATGTAGAAGCGCCGACAAACTGAAGATCAACTGGACTTTAACAGACAGTACACCTGGCTTTGTCATTGGAAAACGTGGCAAGTGGAGCATATATGTTGCAGGGTATTCTGATGGAAGTGGACACCCTTGCCAGTCTAACTGAGCTTGGGGAACACCACTTGTGTGCAGGCAATTACATAGCCTCACTCAGGACGTATCCCGAACAGACGGACTCTAGGTCAACCCACAGCAAAACCCCAGAACAAAGTCAAGTCTCAGTCAAATAGTTAAAATTTTCTTGCAAGCCGTTGGAATTGCTGTGGAATGTGGACTTGAAACAGCAAAAGAGTCCTACTAGATCTAAACCGAGAAAGAGAACTCCTAGACTGGTATCCAGGAGAGTGCACACCTTGGAAAGTTCACCTACATCATGCTTAGCAAAATTGCTTAGCAACATCCAAATTGGAAACAATCAAAATAAACATCTGGTTAAATGGCCACCCCGGTTCTAATGGAGGTCAATACCAGTGTGGCCATTTCAATGATTGCAGAACCAGTCTGTAACAAAATTTGCTCCAAACTCCAACCGTTAAGTTCGCGCATGACCTCGGCTAGACGGAGAACCTATACCGGAGAACCTTTACAGATTTAAGGTACAACTTCGGTTCCAGTCTCTTTTGAGAAGCCGCTGGTTCAGTTACCACTGATTGTAGTAAAAGGCTCGGGGCCAAATTTTACAGGACGAAATTAGTGGCGAAAAATTGACTTAGATTGGCTCAACATTTTTCAATTAGAAAATGGCTGCCTAAGTGAAGTTCTAATTGAATCCAGAAGTTTTTCAGGAAGGTCTAGGGACTATCAAAGGAGCCAAGGCCACTTCACACGTTGACCAGGATACAATCCCACGATTCTGTAAGACCCACCCAGTGCCATTTGCCTTATAGGCAAAAGCAAAGGCAGAAATCAGGAGGCTGGAAAGTGAGGGAATCATCAAACCAGTACAGTTTGTGGAATGGGAAGCACCAGTTGTATTGATTGTGAAGCCCGACAGGTCAGTTTGCCTTTGTGGGGATTTTAAACAAATGGTAAACCATGTTTCATAGCTGGATAAATAGCAAATCCCTTGCATAGAAGATTTATATGCGAAAGTGGCGGTGGGGGGAGAGGAGGGGCTGGTCATGAGCCATGCATATTTGCAATTGTGGTTAGATCAGGATTCCCAGATGTATACTACAATTAAAATCCATAAGGATTTGTACCAATATACAACACTGCCGTTTGGGGTATCGTCAGCCTGTGCAATTTTTCAGCGGATGATGGAGAACATTTTACAAGGTCAATCCCAGGTCACCATTTATCTAGATGGTGTCCTATATACAGGGAAGACCAATATGGAACACTTAGAGAAATTGGACATAGGCCTTAGACATATCTCCCAGGTGGGTGTATGCATTAGAAAGGAAAAATGTGTGCTCTAGGCACCCCAACTGACCTACTTGGGCTACAGAATCAACAAGACCAGGTTACACCAGTTGGAAGGTAAAATGAGGGTGATCAAAGGTGCCCCGGGGCTCCCACATCAGTACCAATCTTTCCTTGGGCTGGTGAAATATTACAGAAAAGTCATACATAAACCGGCCTCCAACCTGGCACTTTTGCATCAACTCTTGAAAAAAGGGTCAGGCTTGGAAATGGCCGTGTAGTCAAGCCACAGTTTTCAGGAAAGTGAAGAAACAGCTATCATCCTTGAAGGTGTTGGCACACTATGATCCCAAGCGAGATCTGGCATTGACAAGCAATGCTTCCCTGCATGGCATTGGAGTAGAATCAACTCATAGGTGGTCCAATGGAGAGGAGCACCCAATAGCGTTTGCATCCAGGACTTTGGCTAATGCAGAGCGTAAATACGTCCTGATAGAGAAAGAAGGTTTGGTGGTCATATTTGGAGTCAGGATGTAAATTTGTAATAATAATGGACCACAAATCCCTGCTAGGTCTATTTAAAGAAGGCAAGACAGTGCCACCCATAGCTTCAGG